GAAGACAACCAGGGTCTTGAAGACACCAGGGGTCTTGAAGACAACCAGGGTGTCTTGAAGACAACCAGGTGTCTTGAAGACAACCAGGTGTCTTGAAGACACCAGGGTCTTGAAGACAACCAGGGGTCTTGAAGACAACCAGGGTCTTGAAGACAACCAGGGGTCTTGAAGACAACCAGGGTCTTGAAGACAACCAGGGGTCTTGAAGACAACCAGGGTGTCTTGAAGACAACCAGGGTCTTGAAGACAACCAGGGGTCTTGAAGACAACCAGGGGTCTTGAAGACAACCAGGGGTCTTGAAGACAACCAGGGGTCTTGAAGACAACCAGGGTCTTGAAGACAACCAGGTGTCTTGAAGACAACCAGGTGTCTTGAAGACAACCAGGGTCTTGAAGACAGCCAGGGTCTTGAAGACAACCAGGGGTCTTGAAGACACCAGGGTCTTGAAGACAGCCAGGTGTCTTGAAGACAACCAGGGTCTTGAAGACAACCAGGGGTCTTGAAGACAGCCAGGGGTCTTGAAGACAACCAGGGTCTTGAAGACAACCAGGGGTCTTGAAGGGAGACAACCAGGGGTCTTGAAGACAGCCAGGGGTCTTGAAGACAGCCAGGGGTCTTGAAGACAGCCAGGGTCTTGAAGACAACCAGGGTCTTGAAGACAACCAGGGTCTTGAAGACACCAGGGTCTTGAAGACACCAGGTGTCTTGAAGACAGCCAGGGTCTTGAAGACAGCCAGGGGTCTTGAAGACAGCCAGGAGTCTTGAAGACAACCAGGGGTCTTGAAGACAACCAGGGTCTTGAAGACAGCCAGGGTCTTGAAGACAGCGGGTGTCTTGAAGACACCAGGTGTCTTGAAGACACCAGGGTCTTGAAGACAGCCAGGAGTCTTGAAGACAACCAGGGTCTTGAAGACAACCAGGGGTCTTGAAGACAGCCAGGGGCTTGAAGACAACCAGGGTCTTGAAGACAGCCAGGTGTCTTGAAGACACCAGGGTCTTGAAGACAGCCAGGTGTCTTGAAGAAGCAGGTGTCTTGAAGACAGCCAGGGTCTTGAAGACAGCCAGGAGTCTTGAGACAGCCGGTGTCTTGAAGACAGCCAGGTGTCTGAAGACAGCCAGGTGTCTTGAAGACAGCCAGGTGTCTTGAAGACAGCCAGGGTCTTGAAGACAGCCAGGGTCTTAAGAACTGCCAGGAGTCTTAAGCATTTTAGTGTGAACAGCCAGGGTCTTGATGAGCTGGTGTCTTAAGTGCACACAGGGCCCGTTCGATCAGCGGAGTTGAAGACATTTGCCAGTGTCTTGACAGCCTGTTGTCTTGCAAGCAGCAATCTAGACCAGGTGTTAGTCATGTGCGTGCATGCCTGGGACTGATTAGGACCCATGAACAAGTTAGACAGTCCTCGGAGTACTTTGGGTTATCCTAGGGCTATCCTGGTGGTTTAAAAATCCACGAACTTTCATTCTACGTTGAGGGCCAGTTGAACAGCGTTGGGCCCGAACACTTTTGAATGTTCTCTTACACTGTGGGTCCTGCTTTACTCTGGGAATGTTATTCTTGCGACTGTAGGGAGTGATTTTCGTGTACAAGTTTAGCACTAATCCCTCTAGGATTTTCCAAGTGTATATTATCATGTATCTCTCTCGCCTGTGTACTGGGATTACAAATCAAGGGCCTTCGACCGTTCCCAGTAATTTAGGTGCTTTATCGTACTTAAGTGTGCTGTGAAAGTTATTTGTAAACTCTTCAGGTCAGCAATTTCGCCTGTCTTGAAGGGGGCAGTTAGTGAACAGCAGTATTCCAGCCAAGAGAGAACAAGCAATTTGAAGAGAATCATCATGGGCTTAATGTCCCTAGTTTTGAAGGTTCTCATTATACATCCTATCATTTTTCTAGCAGACGTGGTAGATACATTGTTGTGGTCTTTGAAGATGAGATCCTCTGACATTATCACTCCCAGGTCCTTCACATTACTTTCTCATGATACAGTTTTAAGTTCCTCAAGTTTTCCATGACTCAGAAGTTGAAATTTCTCTTCATTGAACTTCATGTTGTTTTGAGTGGCCCATTTGAGGATTTGTTTGATGTCCGCTTGGAGTCTCGCAGTGTCTTCGATAGAGGTCACTGCCATGGTGATCCGGGTGTCATCCACAAAGGAAGACACAGAGCTATGGCTTATATCTCTGTCTATGTCAGATATAAGGATGAGGAATAGAATGGCAGGGAGTACTGGTACCTGGTAAAGATAGTGAGGTATACTACAAGGTAATAACTGTACCTGGTGCCTGGTAAAGATAGTGAGGCATACTACAAGGTAATAACTGTACCTGGTGCCTGGTAAAGATAGTGAGGCATACTACAAAGTATACTACAAGGTAATAACTGTACCTGGTGCCTGGTAAAGATAGTGAGGCATACTACAAGGTAATAACTGTACCTGGTGCCTGGTAAAGATAGTGAGGCATACTACAAAGTATACTACAAGGTAATAACTGTACCTGGTGCCTGGTAAAGATAGTGAGGCATACTACAAGGTAATAACTGTACCTGGTGCCTGGTAAAGATAGTGAGGCATACTACAAAGTATACTACAAGGTAATAACTGTACCTGGTGCCTGGTAAAAATAATGAGGTATAATACAAGGTAATAACTGTACCTGATGCCTGGTAAAGACAGTGAAGTATACCACAAGGTATACTACAAGGTAATAACTGTGCCTGGTGCCTGGTAAAGATAGTGAGGTATACTACAAGGTAATAACTGTACCTGGTGCCTGGTAAAGGTAGTGAGGTACAGTTGACCCTCAACTAATGGCAGCATTAAGTAACGGCAATTTTGTCTAACGGCGCTTTTTGCCATAGAAAAAATGCCTTAACCAACAGGGAAAAACTTAACTAACAACGTTTGTCTGGAACGTGTTGATGTGCCCAGAGCGCGGCCTGAGCGGGCCCAACCACTCCAAGAGTCAGTGTGCCATTGTTTACAAGCTCGGTTTCCACGTGTGCCTCCCATATATTTTGGATAATTCCACTATTTATAGTGCTTGTAACCACTAAATAAGCCACCATGGGTCCCAAGAAAGCTACTAGTGCCAAACCTGTGTTTAAAAGGGTGAGAATTATGATGGAAATGAAGTCCTTCTGGAAGGAGATTCTCCTTCCAAGCAAGAGACAATTCTGAATTTCCCTGTTGCTGGCATATCACTCATCAACAACTCCACAATAAAGGTAAGTGGCATTTAATTATTGTTTATTTTGCATGTCCCATTCCTTTCCGTATAAAGAGATATATATTTCATGTAATTTTTTTTTCGGACTTTGGGGTGTCAGGAACGGATTAATTCTATTTCCATTATTTCTTATGGGGAAAATTCACTCGATCAACGGCAATTTCGACCCACGGCAAGCCCTCTGGAACGGATTAATGCCGTTGGTTGAGGGTCCACTGTATACTACAAGGTATACTACAAGGTAATAACTGTACCTGGTGCCTGGTAAAAATAGTGAGGTATACTACAAGGTAATAACTGTACCTGGTGCCTGGTAAAAATAGTGAGGTATACTACAAGGTAATAACTGTACCTGGTGCCTGGTAAAAATAGTGAGGTATACTACAAGGTATACTACAAGGTAATAACTGTACCTGGTTCCTGGTAAAAATAGTGAGGTATACTACAAGGTAATAACTGTACCTGGTGCCTGGTACAGATAGTGAGGTATACCACAAGGTATACTACAAGGTAATAACTGTACCTGGCGCCTGGTACAGATAGTGAGGTATACCACAAGGTATACTACAAGGTAATAACTGTACCTGGTGCCTGGTACAGATAGTGAGGTATACCACAAGGTATACTACAAGGTAATAACTGTACCTGGTGCCTGGTAAAAATAGTGAGGTATACCACAAGGTATACTACAAGGTAATAACTATACCTGGTGCCTGGTAAAGATAGTGAAGTATACTACAAGGTATACTACAAGGTAATAACTGTACCTGGTGCCTGGTAAAGATAGTGAAGTATACTACAAGGTATACTACAAGGTAATAACTGTACCTGGTGCCTGGTAAAGATAGTGAAGTATACCACAAGGTATACTACAAGGTAATAATTGTACCTCGTGCCTGGTAAAGATAGTGAAGTATACCACAAGGTATACTACAAGGTAATAACTGTACCTCGTGCCTGGTAAAGATAGTGAGGTATACAACAAGGTATACTACAAGATAATAACTATACCTGGTGCCTGGTAAAGGTAGTGTGGTATACTACAAGGTATACTACAAGATAATAACTATACCTGGTGCCTGGTAAAGGGTAGTGAGGTATACTACAAGATAATAACTATACCTGGTGCCTGGTAAAGGGTAGTGAGGTATACTACAAGGTATACTACAAGATAATAACTATACCTGGTGCCTGGTAAAGGGTAGTGAGGTATACTACAAGGTATACTACAAGATAATAACTATACCTGGTGCCTGGTAAAGGTAGTGAGGTATACTACAAGGTATACTACAAGATAATAACTATACCTGGTGCCTGGTAAAGGTAGTGAGGTATACTACAAGGTATACTACAAGATAATAACTATACCTGGTGCCTGGTAAAGGTAGTGAGGTATACCACAAGGTATACTACAAGATAATAACTATACCTGGTGCCTGGTAAAGGTAGTGAGGTATACTACAAGGTATACTACAAGATAATAACTATACCTGGTGCCTGGTAAAGGTAGTGAGGTATACCACAAGGTATACTACAAGATAATAACTATACCTGGTGCCTGGTAAAGGTAGTGAGGTATACTACAAGGTATACTACAAGATAATAACTATACCTGGTGCCTGGTAAAGGTAGTGAGGTATACTACAAGGTATACTACAAGATAATAACTATGCCTGGTGCCTGGTAAAGGTAGTGAGGTATACTACAAGATAATAACTATACCTGGTGCCTGGTAAAGGTAGTGAGGTATACTACAAGATAATAACTATACCTGGTGCCTGGTGACTGTAGTCATGGTGCTTGTAGCCGTACCCACCATAGGCTGGAGGAATACACTGGTGTCAGTATACATGTATGCTCATGTACACCCTGTGACGTACATGATACCCAGCCACGCCAGGGTAGCAGGGGCATCAAGCTACAACAGTGTACATGGCGGGGAGATGATGATGCTATAACACCGCTACATCATCATTATCATCATCGAGGGAGAGAGAGAGGCTGAATTTGTGATATTCGCGCCTAGGCCTATAATGAGGCTGCCTGGGTTGTAACTACCAGGACTATGATAGTCTTGAAGAGTGTCTGCCTGGGTTGTAACTACCAGGACTATGATAGTCTTGAAGAGTGTCTGCCTGGGTTGTAACTACCAGGACTATGATAGTCTTGAAGAGTGTCTGCCTGGGTTGTAACTACCAGGACTATGATAGTCTTGAAGAGTGTCTGCCTGGGTTGTAACTACCAGGACTATGATAGTCTTGAAGAGTGTCTGATGGGTTGTAACTACCAGGACTATGATAGTCTTGAGAGTGTCTGCCTGGGTTGTAACTACCAGGACTATGATAGTCTTGAAGAGTGTCTGCCTGGGTTGTAACTACCAGGACTATGATAGTCTTAAAGAGTGTCTGCCTGGGTTGTAACTACCAGGACTATGATAGTCTTGAAGAGTGTCTGCCTGGGTTGTAACTACCAGGACTATGATAGTCTTCAAGAGTGTCTGCCTGGGTTGTAACTACCAGGACTATGATAGTCTTGAGGAGTGTCTGCCTGGGTTGTAACTACCAGGACTATGATAGTCTTGAAGAGTGTCTGCCTGGGTTGTAACTACCAGGACTATGATAGTCTTGAGGAGTGTCTGCCTGGGTTGTAACTACCAGGACTATGATAGTCTTGAAGAGTGTCTGCCTGGGTTGTAACTACCAGGACTATGATAGTCTTGAAGAGTGTCTGCCTGGGTTGTAAAATACCCGGACTATGATAGTCTTGAAGAGTGTCTGACTGGGTTGTAACTACCAGGACTATGATAGTCTTAAAGAGTGTCTGCCTGGGTTGTAACTACCAGGACTATGATAGTCTTGAAGAGTGTCTGCCTGGGTTGTAACTACCAGGACTATGATAGTCTTGAAGAGTGTCTGCCTGGGCTGTAACTACCAGGACTATGATAGTCTTGAGAGTGTCTGCCTGGTTGTAACTACCAGGACTATGATAGTCTTGAAGAGTGTCTGCCTGGGTTGTAAACTACCAGGACTATGATAGTCTTGAAGAGTGTCTGCCTGGGTTGTAACTACCAGGACTATGATAGTCTTGAAGAGTGTCTGACTGGGTTGTAACTACCAGGACTATGATAGTCTTAAGAGTGTCTGCCTGGGTTGTAACTACCAGGACTATGATAGTCTTGAAGAGTGTCTGCCTGGGTTGTAACTACCAGGACTATGATAGTTTTGAAGAGTGTCTGCCTGGGTTGTAACTACCAGGACTATGATAGTCTTGAAGAGTGTCTGCCTGGGTTGTAACTACCAGGACTATGAATAGTCTTGAAGAGTGTCTGCCTGGGTTGTAACTACCAGGACTATGATAGTCTTGAGGAGTGTCTAGCCTGGGTTGTAACTACCAGGACTATGATAGTCTTGAGAGTGTCTGCCTGGGTTGTAACTACCAGGACTATGATAGTCTTCAAGAGTGTCTGCCTGGCTGTAATCTACCAGGACTAAAGATAGTCTTTAAGAGTGTCTGCCTGGGTTGTAACTACCAGGACTATGATAGTTTTGAAGAGTGTCTGCCTGGGTTGTAACTACCAGGACTATGATAGTCTTGAAGAGTGTCTGCCTGGGTTTGTAACTACCAGGACTATGATAGTCTTGAAGAGTGTCTGCCTGGGTTGTAACTACCAGGACTATGATAGTCTTGAAGAGTGTCTACCTGGGTTGTAACTACCAGACTATGATAGTCTTAAGAGTGTCTGCCTGGGTTGTAACTACCAGGACTATGATAGTCTTGAAGAGTGTCTGCCTGAGTTGTAACTACCAGACTATGATAGTCTTGAAGAGTGTCTGCCTGGGTTGTAACTACCAGGACTATGATAGTCTTGAAGAGTGTCTGCCTGGGTTGTAACTACCAGGATATGATAGTCTTGAGAGTGTCTGCCTGGGTTGTAACTACCAGGACTATGAAGTCTTGAAGAGTGTCTGCCTGGGTTGTAACTACCAGGACTATGATAGTCTTAAAGAGTGTCTGCCTGGGTTGTAACTACCAGGACTATGATAGTCTTAAAGAGTGTCTGCCTGGGTTGTAACTACCAGGACTATGAGAGTCTTGAAGAGTGTCTGCCTGGGTTGTAACTACCAAGACTATGATAGTCTTGAAGAGTGTCTCCCTGGGTTGTAACTACCAGGACTATGATAGTCTTGAAGAGTGTCTGCCTGGGTTGTAACTACCAGGACTATGATAGTCTTGAAGAGTGTCTGCCTGGGTTGTAACTACCAGGACTATGATAGTCATGAGAGTGTCTGCCTGGGTTGTAACTACCAGGACTATGATAGTCTTGAAGAGTGTCTGCCTGGGTTGTAACTACCTGGACTATGATAGTCTTGAAGAGTGTCTGCCTGGGTTGTAACTACCAGACTATGATAGTCTTGAGAGTGTCTGCCTGGGTTGTAACTACCAGGACTATGATAGTCTTGAGAGTGTCTGCCTGGGTTGTAACTACCAGGACTATGATAGTCTTGAAGAGTGTCTGCCTGGGTTGTAACTACCAGGACTATGATAGTCTTGAAGAGTGTCTGCCTGGGTTGTAACTACCTGGACTATGATAGTCATGAAGAGTGTCTGCCTGGGTTGTAACTACCAGGACTATGATAGTCTTGAAGAGTGTCTGCCTGGGTTGTAACTACCAGGACTATGATAGTCTTGAAGAGTGTCTGCCTGGGTTTGTAACTACCAGGACTATGATAGTCTTGAAGGAGTGTCTGCCTGGGTTGTAACTACCTGGACTATGATAGTCTTGAAGAGTGTCTGTCTGGGTTGTACTACCAGGACTATGATAGTCTTGAAGAGTGTCTGCTTGGGTTGTAACTACCAGGACTATGATAGTCTTGAAGAGTGTCTGCTGGGTTGTAACTACCAGGACTATGATAGTCTTGAGATGTCTGCCTGGGTTGTAACTACCAGGACTATGATAGTCTTGAAGAGTGTCTGCCTGGGTTGTATAACTACCAGGACTATGATAGTCTTGAAGAGTGTCTGCCTGGGTTGTAACTACCTGGACTATGATAGTCTTGAAGAGTGTCTGACTGGGTTGTAACTACCAGGACTATGATAGTCTTGAAGAGTGTCTGCCTGGGTTGTAACTACCTGGACTATGATAGTCTTGAAGAGTGTCTGATTGGGTTGTAACTACCAGGACTATGATAGTCTTGAAGAGTGTCTGACTGGGTTGTAACTACCAGGACTATGATAGTCTTGAGAGTGTCTGCCTGGGTTGTAACTACCAGGACTATGATAGTCTTGAAGAGTGTCTGCCTGGGTTGTAACTACCAGGACTATGATAGTCTTGAAGAGTGTCTGCCTGGGTTGTAACTACCTGGACTATGATAGTCTTGAAGAGTGTCTGCCTGGGTTGTAACTACCAGGACTATGATAGTCTTGAAGAGTGTCTGCCTGGGTTGTAACTACCAGGACTATGATAGTCTTGAAGAGTGTCTGCCTGGTTGTAACTACCAGGACTATGATAGTCTTGAAGAGTGTCTGCCTGGGTTGTAACTACCAGGACTATGATAGTCTTGAAGAGTGTCTGCCTGGGTTGTAACTACCAGGACTATGATAGTCTTGAAGAGTGTCTGCCTGGGTTGTAACTACCAGGACTATGATAGTCTTGAGGAGTGTCTGCCTGGGTTGTAACTACCTGGACTAATGATAGTCTTGAAGAGTGTCTGCCTGGGTTGTAACTACCAGGACTATGATAGTCTTGAAGAGTGTCTGCCTGGGTTGTAACTACCAGGACTATGATAGTCTTGAAGAGTGTCTGCCTGGGTTGTAACTACCTGGACTATGATAGTCTTGAAGAGTGTCTGCCTGGGTTGTAACTACCAGGACTATGAATAGTCTTGAAGGAGTGTCTGCCTGGGTTGTAACTACCAGGACTATGATAGTCTTGAAGAGTGTCTGCCTGGGTTGTAACTACCAGACTATGATAGTCTTGAGGAGTGTCTGCCTGGGTTGTAACTACCAGGACTATGATAGTCTTGAAGAGTGTCTGCCTGGGTTGTAACTACCAGGACTATGATAGTCTGAAAGTGTCTGCCTGGGTTGTAACTACCAGGACTATGATAGTCTTGAAGAGTGTCTGCCTGGGTTGTAACTAACCAGGACTATGATAGTCTTGAAGAGTGTCTGCCTGGGTTGTAACTACCAGACTATGATAGTCTTGAAGAGTGTCTGCCTGAGTTGTAACTACCAGGACTATGATAGTCTTGAAGAGTGTCTGCCTGGTTGTAACTACCAGGACTATGATAGTCTTGAAGAGTGTCTGCCTGGGTTGTAACTACCAGGACTATGATAGTCTTGAAGAGTGTCTGCCTGGGTTGTAACTACCAGGACTATGATAGTCTTGAGAGTGTCTGCCTGGGTTGTAACTACCAGGACTATGATAGTCTTGAAGAGTGTCTGCCTGGGTTGTAACTACCAGGACTATGATAGTCTTGAAGATGTCTGCCTGGGTTGTAACTACCAGACTATGATAGTCTTGAAGAGTGTCTGCCTGGGCTGTAACTACCAGGACTATGATAGTCTTGAAGAGTGTCTGCCTGAGTTGTAACTACCAGGACTATGATAGTCTTGAAGAGTGTCTGCCTGGGTTGTAACTACCTGGACTATGATAGTCTTGAAGAGTGTCTGCCTGGTTGTAACTACCAGGACTATGAATAGTCTTGAAGAGTGTCTGCCTGGGTTGTAACTACCAGGACTATGATAGTCTTGAAGAGTGTCTGCCTGGGTTGTAACTACCAGGACTATGATAGTCTTGAAGAGTGTCTGCCTGGGTTGTAA